GTGGAACTGGCGGATGCTTTGTTTGCCTGGATAAACTGTAGTTATATAAGATTTAACAAATGTTTAAACACTATTCACTCCAAATGGAACTCAATGTACCTAACACATGCTTAACCAAATTGGTACCCAATTAACAAGTGTAACTATTACCCTACTCAGTGGTGCCTATTTAATTAACCTTGGAAGGAGGAAAGAAAGTAGAACATACTAGAAATAACCCCTGTGACCTTGAGGTTTGAACAGGCTCTGTAGCTGGTCCTATGAGCAGCTGAGCTATATCATATATATGTGATCTGTTAAATGGATCCAAGTGGCCGAGGTAAGTCTAGGTTATCACGTACAGCTGATTTCTTGAACATTCTATTGCACTGCATCAAGACTTTAATTATTCTACTGAAAGCAACCCTCACCAATGTATCCTGATTCTAGAGAATATGGCATGGGTAGATAAGTATGGCACTCCAGTGCTGATGACATGCTGGCACACAGAGTTTTACACTGTGTTTCTCTGATCAAACAGTGTAACTCCCCTGTGTTCAAGCAGGGACACATATTCTTTGTATTTGGAATCATGGGAACCTTATGGAACTGGAGTTGATTTTTCCAGATCAAGTTATTTTTAATGGATGCCTGTGCAGGGTTCGTACCTAGATCCACCATGTTTCCTGGACACATAGCACTTCTACATGGTGACTGGTAATTCTCAAAAAGTGCTGATCTGTAGTATGCAGACTTTGTATGCTGCAGCACAGAAATCTGACTTGATTAGTTGATAAGTTTATTGATTTCACTTTCGCTGCCTATGAATTCTACATGTTGCAGGCCAGCACTTTTCATGTACTGCTCATGATTAGAAATCGTTAATATGTGCCATGCGAACACAGATATACTCACATCATAGGACTTATAATGTGGAGCAATCACCTTGGAATCCAATGGTATGTTCCTCCACGTCTAGGACTTTTTAATTCTTTATTTCTGTACATTTTTAGACAAGAAAAATGGTTACAAAACAATGGGCATGAACAGTGCCCTGTAGCAGAATGATATCAATAATGAAAACCTCACTTAATATAGATAGTGATAACACCAGTATTTTCTTCATATAAGTAAATACGTGGTTACAATCCCCATGATAATACATCCCTGTCTTGATAATGAGTTAATACATCATGGCCAACTGCTCGATTAACCTGTATATAAACAATTAGACAAACACGGACTGATTTCTAAACACATTTATTGTAGTTTAAAGACACATTATTATGAGTATTCTTACTTTGGAGCTCTATTACACTCTCAGACATAGAATGTGACGGCAGATAAGAACCGTTTGGCCTATTTAGTCTGCCCAATTGTCTAAATACTTAGTCCTTAGTCCCTGGCCTTAATGCAAGTGTAGGATAGCCTTATGCCTTCCACACGCATACTTAAACTCCCTCACTGTGTTAACCTCTACCACTTCAGGAAGGCTATTCCTTGCGCCCACTACCCTCTCTGTAAAGTAATACTAAAGAAACATAGAATGTGATGGCAGATAAGACACACCAAACAGCATGGGATATTAGGGCAGTATAGGGGAGCGATTTGGGCCCAAAATAGGAAATGTCCCTCCTAAATAGGGACACTTGGGAGGTGTGCGTGTTTGTTGATCTGCTGTGTGAAATTGTGCTCATTGTGTTTGTATATCCTAACTGCTGTATAAAGAGCGACCAAACCATTTCAGCAGAGAGATCTGCGCTTTGTGAAGAATCCACGTGGCACTGTTACATGACATTTACGACCATAAGATTAAAATTTAAAATTTCTCTCCAACTACTATTTTACTCTGAGGAGTCTTTGCACTGTAACTCCCATCAATCTCTCCAAAATTGATGTGAAACAACTCTCACAATCCACTTCAATGCCCATAACTCACTTTAAAACAAGAGTAACCAATAGGTTAACCCACAGATGTAGAACTACAACAACCATGATGCTTTGCATGCCTCTAAAATACAGTTAGAATGCCAAAGCATCATGGAAGCTGTAGTTTTAAATCATCTGGGGATCTACTTGTTGGGCATCCCTGCACTAAAAGTAATTCACTGTAATTCCCAAATTCACTCCAAACACGAGGTACTTAAAGTTCTACTTTAGTCACTTCAAAGATGATGTGCTCCGGCTGCTACCATTCACTCCAAAGGTGATGCACTACAATTCCCATCATGCACAGCAAAGCTGATGTACTTCATAATCACTTCAAATCTGATCTAAAACATCTCTCATCATTTACTCTTCAGTTAATCGTATCATAGATTCCACAATTTATCTGAATGTAATGTAATATTTCAACTCCCACCATGCATTCCAAAGGAAATGTATAACATTGTACAACCCAAAGACCAGAGTCTCAATATTCACTCTAAAATATATACTACAACTACTACCATTCATTCCACATGTGCAATTTCCATCAGCAGATCAGTAAATGTCTTCCTCTGTTCGCTAAATAGTTAGTAATACTATGGAAAACGTTTTCATTTAGTACTTAGCTGAGCAAAACCAGGGTTGGTCAGTCACAGACAAGAGAAAATCAATACACATAGGTATACTCTGGAAATTAGACCAGCAGAATGTGTGCATAACGTTCAGGTTAAATAATCTTTATGGATTCATACAGTTAACAAGGCACACAGCTCTGGAGGGGGGAGGACAATCCAAGTGCATGTTTAATTTTAGTCCATTTCTGTTTACTGACTTCCTGTGGATTTTCCAAGTTTAGTTGAACAGAGAGACTCAGCTGAACTCAGCAGCAATGGCATAGCTACATTTCTGCTGAGTTCAGTAAAACTAGGCGAATCACTATAAATGGATCACTGCTGCAAAATTTCAGACTGTTTCATTTAATGGCCATATCTAAATCCCAATCCCAGTCTGTGCTATAAAGCAATTACTGCCTGCATTTGCTTGGCACTCATAGAAAAGAGTAAATCAGATTATGGTAAAGCAGGAAGTACAATTTCGGTGGAATGTTTCAGGATTTTGTGACTCAGCGATAGGTTTACTATTTAAAGATGATCATTTATGGGTTGGGTTCTCTATAGTATCCAGACTGATTCCACAATACCTTTATTGTATGTTACAGGTTTATAAAAAGGATTGCCCCTTATCCCATTCAATAACAATAAAACCTGTCAATTATGCATGATGCTTTTTTTTTTATAAGAGAGCCGATATGAATGTGTATGAACGGAGTATCTCATTCACTCCACGGCAGTTGAGGTTGATACAATGTCGGTCTAGGCAGGTACATGTTACCATAGCAACTAAGGAAATACTTATCTGTGTAACGCCACACTATATTGACTTCAAATACTTTGGAATGTACGAGACGCACGTGGAACTGATATTTTGTGCATTAAGACCTCAGTCTGAATCTTTACTTTCTACATCAGAATGCACATTTTCCTAATGCGAATGTGAGTGACACGTTTTTGTACTGTACTAAATTTATTTTTTTTAACCTTGAAGCTTGCCATAGGGAACTGACAATTTTACAGAAATTACACCACTGAATAAAAATGTAAAATCACCTATAACTCGTGTAAAACTTTTTTTCATACTATGTTATGTTTGATTGTTTTTTTTGTTTTGATTTTTTTGTGTATATTAAAAATAACGATTGCTATCATGATCCAGTTCGATCAAGGCACAACCAAGGCACAGGCTGCAAATAAAGAAGAGAAACACTATTTCTGTCAATCCCGAACCTACTAGTTCTCACCTTATATAATGCCAATTAGGGCTATTTATTAAAGAGAGAATGCAAATTCAATTTGGAAATTAAGTCGAGAGTTTTGAATCAGAGATTTATTTCCAGTTTGGCTATTATGATCTTAAATTTTAAATTCACGTTAAAGTCACATTAAGCCTGATAGATTAAATTTACACCCAACATATCTATGTTGAAACTGTGGCTCCTCTTCAATTTAAAATTAAATCTTTAAACTTTTCTTGCATTTATCAATGAATCAAGTAAAACGGAACCCTGCAGCTCTAAGTACTGACATCTGCGACTCTTATTAAAGGGGCACTATAGTGTCAGGAACACAAACGCGTATTCCTGACACTAGTTTTAAAACCACTGTTTAGGTGGTCGGCCCCCCTTTCCTCGGTTTAAAAACGAGATTTATTCACGCTTTGCCAGCACCGCATGGGGCTCCTTGCGCCCGTCCCTGCCCCTGATCTGCTTCCTTGGCAGACATAATCAGAATCGATGATATCAGCCAATCACAATGTTTTTTCTTTCACAAAATTTAAAAATAAACTCAGTTCTTCAGTATTAATTAATTCTGAAGTTCTCCAGAAACCTTACCATGAACCCAACTCTACAAAATACTGAACCCTGCGTCTCTCCGTAGATTTTACAGTGGACCCTGCAGCTCTCTATAGATTGAACACTGAACCCTGCATCTATTTAAACAGATATAATAATGATCGTACAGCTCTCCTTAGATGTAGTATAATTAAGAAAAACTGCACACAAAAAAAATCTCCAATAATTGATTGAGCATACTGGGACTCCTAGTCCCTTGAAGTTGGAAAGGCAGCAAATGATTATCTCTGCTCCCAACCTATCCAACCGGGGATGGACAACCTCACCGCAGTGTGAGCAGAACACAACTCCTATGATCCTCATCCAGGAGTATAAAACAGTGTTAGCATCTGTGTCAGCTTTGGATTTGTAATTGGCCTGCTCTGTGAAAAGTGTTGCTGCTTCATAAACAATATTTGCACAGACAATCAATTTCCATATGTATTTTATTGATCTCTGGATAAGTCTGCCTATCATCACAAGTAAAAGCACTTGCTTTATTGCTTCAGTCCTTAGAATAAAGCCTTGCTGATTTTAACCAACCACAAGCAAGGGGTGTGTACAGAGGGGACAGCTGCTAGCCAATTGGAGCCTCCAATAGGCTGGGATAAAGGCACAATGACGTCACCCTCTGTGAGTCCCCCTCCTTTGTAAAGCAATGCTAATGCAAGTGCTGGTAGATTTTGCCCCTTACATTTTTTGGGGGGTGTCAGCATCCACCCCCAAATGTGCTGTACATCTTCTACATAAGTCCCCCTAATGTCCCAACCAAGCAGAGTCTTTCCTGCTAATCCCCTTCCCCCATCCTCTTTCCTATAGCCAAAATCCTTACACATCCCATTTCCTTCCTCCTTTTGTATTTTTACCATCCCTGTTTTTTTTTTTTCTCTCTACAGTGGGGGAGGGAGATATTAAATGAATAAACAGCAATAAGAAAACCTGAGAGAGCATATAGGGGAAAACAAAGGGGGCTTCTACCCATAAAAGCATTGCAATCTGTAAGGTCTGCTTAAAATTAATGGCATTCTGAGACCACCACCCCCACCACCCCCTCCTCTGTTTTCTCTTGCCCTTTCTCTCCTGTCTCTCAGTGTGACAGTCTCTGCCTTTTGGGACATGATGGCTGGGGGATCTCTCCACCAAAATGCTCCTTATCCACCTTCACAGCAGCAGCAAACCCCACAGATGGAGACGGAAGCCCCAGACTCTAGGAAAAGACCATTAGAGACCCCAACGGAAGCTACCAGCACCAAGAGGTCCAACACAGCAGGTTAGTCTCAAGCTGAGAGTCTGATGGACCAGTGACAATGTCACGGTAATGCAAATATGTACAGGATTCAGGATACGTCCAGCGTAAAGCATGCAATCCAATAGAGGTTATATATCATTCACTATCTGAAGGATGCTTTTAATGCTTGCTGACAGATAAAAATGTGGATTTTCAACAAAGCATCTGTAGAGTTTTGTGACAACAGCGATAGGTTTACTATTTAAAGATGATCATTTATGGGTTGGGTTCTCTATAGTATCCAGACTGATTCCACAATACCTTTATTGTATGTTACAGGTTTATAAAAAGGATTGCCCCTTATCCCATTCAATAACAATAAAACCTGTCAATTATGCATGATGCTTTTTTTTTTTTTTTTTATAAGAGTGGTGAATGTCTATTTACTGTACCAAATCGGCAGGACTGTCTGCAAGATGTGCTCCTAAGCTGTCCATTATCCTCTGTATGATTTTTAGATGCATCCTTTTTGTTTTGTGCTCTAGAGTGACGCATTTAAAAAACCTGAGGACATTACAGTTACCTTCCAGGATTTCTATAAGATGTTCAATTTTGCGTCACCCCCCCACATCAAATGCCCCCTAGTTTATGACATCCTGTGAGGATACAAAAAGATTCTGAGATCAATTTCCTGCAGCATCACTGTTCCCCTACAAGAAGATGGCATCAAAAAAACTGCGTTACCTATTGTCTTGCGAAAAAGAGATTGATGTACAATATTTGATCTGAATTTAAGATTACACAGTGGCTGAATTTGCTGAATATTTGCGGGTTTCTGCGGCCAGAATAGTTAACCATTAGCGTGCCTGAGATCTGTTTGCTCTTACCTCGCTCTTTGTAGCATTTAAATGCTTTGATATTTGATGTCAAGGAGGTTAATTCTTTAAAAGAATTGCATTAATCAATTATCTCTATAGCAATTTAAATGTATAGGGTCCATGGGATTTAAATATTGTCGTATTCCTAGAAACTTTATTCCAAAATCTGTTCTCCTGGGATTTTAATAGGACGCAAGATGTTTTCAGAGAAAGCAATAAACAAGAAAGGTATGAAATTATATATATCGAGACTTTCATTGTGTTAGTAGCTCGTATTGATGGAAGTCATGGCTTGATCATAGCCACACATTATTAGGAAGGCTCTATCGGCTATACGGATTACCTAAAAGGTATTCAGGATCAATTAATATCCACAATACCTTTTAAAAAAAACGCTAAATTGCATGTTTTCGTTCATGATCAACATGTATATTTAAGAAATCTAGTACAAAAAATCTAGAAAAAAATATATTTTAATGCGCCTTGAGAGTAAAACCAATAATTTTGTATGCTCGTTAATGTGTTTGTGTGTATTTATATATATATAATTTATTTTATATTTGTTTTGTTATTGGGACGAGGGTCTAATAATTTAATGAAATCTTATTGCATTTTGTCTTTGTGTTATTAATTGGAATCTGCTTTAGCTGTCTTGCCCAGTTTCTGTTTGTGATATTATTGTAAGAGTTTTGTTTATGTGTGACGTTTTTGAAGCCCGTAAGATAATAAGTACAGGATGTATATATGCAGTTAAAATGTGGTGTACAGCCTACCACGTAAAATGGCAAGTTTTTTTTTTTTAGCAATGAGTAGATGTGGCTTTTACATTTTAATGTATGATTAATGATTATAGATGATGTTGATTGTTTGTGGCCTAGCTTGCATTAAGTCCCTTATAAATATGGTGAGCCGTTTTCTCCTCTAAATATTAATTTGAAAGAAGAATCATGAATGAAACCATGTAATTCACATGTAAAGGCCTAATAGTGAACAGCCTAATGCCTAAGGAAAGCTTATATTTATTGACGAGTATGTGTAAATGGAGATGTTTGGATCTATCTATCCATTTATGAACATGTGCTTAGACAAATAAATTGACTGATACAGATATGATAGAGAAATCCATGCATCTGTATATCTATATATGCAACTATAATTCTACTTAAATATATAGGGTATTGTGAGTGAGAGGGCACAGACAAACGACAGAGATGGACAGACAAATAGAAAGACAGACAGAAAGACAGACCAACCAAAAACTGAATAAGGTCAGTATTATTTAGGCTGTCCTGTAGAACACCAGTCCAATATTTTTTCTGAAGGCCTTTTAACTAGGTGAATTTTGATGTTGTAAACGGAATAACGTTTGTTAATTACGTTTGACACGCAATATAACTCACATGTAGTATCTATTCTAGTATAGCACATCATTATCCAACTATACGTTGAGACGGACCTGAGTTTGGACCTGTTATTGTACAGCGATACAAAGACATTGCTGTGATCTGGCAGATGCTGCCATGAAAGACCAAAGGCTATTGCCAACAGAAGGCATCCATCGCGATAAGGCTTAGGACTGACGGTACGATTACTGTAGTATTCCCTTTCCAAAAAAATAACATACGCTTTCATGGAGCTGGACAAAATTTACATAGAGTAAATATTAAACCAACTTTTTTTCTATACTAAAACCAACACAATCTTTTCATACAAATCATTCACACGATGCCATCGCTCTCTTCTACCTGATGATATTTTGTATATTATTTTGTGTTGTTACCATCTGAGCCGCCAAAGCAGAGTTGCCATTTTATTTACAGACAATATGGGTCACGGAGCATTTATACCTCTCCTTGCTGACGTTTTGCTGCAAAAGCCATATTTGATTCATAGATACTTACTTGTGAATATTTCATGAAGCATCCCTTTCCTTAACCCTCACTATGCTCTTTTTAGGTTATCACATAGGAACTTTAGGCCTTGGGCCTAGTAAGGAAACAAAACATGCTGTATGAACAAAACATTCACAATTTGGCTTGTGCCGGTCTACAGCAATAACATGCATCATGCTATTCACGGTACAAAATGACATACAAGATGCAAGGAAAGATGAGAGAAAAAAAAAAATACTTGTCTGTAAAAATCAATGAAGCAAACAGCTAGTAGATGGGGGAGTGAAGCTGGAAAGGAAGGTAGCATTGAGATGGGGACGGACAAAGAGGAACACTGGAGAGACTGTATATAAAGCACTAAAAGTGGAGTGTTTTATTGGTTTCCCTGGAGATTGTTTTACTTTTAGAACGTTGCCATGTAATTGCTCTTTATACACAATGCAATTACATAGGTTGTACGTGCTACAACAGTGTTGATATAGGAGAGAAGGGGTGAAGATAAAAAGATTTAGAAAAGGAATGTCTGCTGCCACGATGGCCTCCTACCGTACGGGCCAACATAAACAAATTCTATGGTTTTATTTAATTAAATGTGTTGTTGTTTTTTTTTAATTGAACACATGCAAAACTCAATAAGTTACAAGACAACATGGTGGGTTTTAGATGGGGGGAAATCACTGTTCAGCTCTTATAGAGAATGAATCACAAACCTAATAAGGGGAAAGTGGCTGAAAGGATAAAGGATGGGATATTATCATCTGTCCATTTCCCTTCTACATCAGATACCAAGGAAAAGGAATGACTTGGCAACAGGATGCTTAAGGAAAAAAACATCATAAGCAGAGCCAGCATTTTATCAGGATTATTTTTAAATAATAAGTCAAACAATCAAGCTCTTGCTGTTATTTGGTGTTAATTTAAAGAGGTTAATTTTAACATTTACTGCCCAGAGTTTGTATATTATGGACCGTTTCTTTAAATAAATTAACTCATAGTAATACTTAACTAATCAGTTTCCTGTAGATATAAACATTTAGTAACATTTAATATACACACCTGCCAGCAATGTTTGAGGTACTTACCTGAGGACTACTTTACTCTCCTCCATGGTTTGATTTCCAGTAGATGTAAGTTGAAGCATGACCATATCCTTTTGGCAGCCTTATTTGTTGATCTTTACCCCACTGACGATTGGTTTGACCCCTAAGTTGCTTCCAATGGCAATCTCCACTCCTCCTCTGGCAGCATCCGGTTTCAAAATTTTCAGATTCAGGAAGTGCGCAGTGCATGGGTAGGGGGACCACTGATTGGCTGTGAGGAGTCAGATGACGCTCCCAGTCTATCAACAACTCCAGTTCACTAAATTGGCTTGGAAAGAAACGTACCTTTCTCAAGTTTAGTGAACGGGGAGTCACTGATTGTCTGAGAGCTAATCCGCAGCACACCTGCCCTGCAAATTCAGAAGCCGAATGCCAAAAGGAGAGGTGTGGACATTGCCACTGGAGGCAATGCACAAGTTAAACTGCTCGAGAATGGTTTAAACCATTGGAGGTAAGCATTCCTGGCACCATAATTTAATTTAGATGAAGTTGTTTTGGTGCCTGGAATGTCCCTTTAAAAGAGACTGACCTGCACAGAGTGCAACTGAAAGCCTGTCATACATATACTACTCAATATTTCAAATGGACAAAGAGGGATATTTAAATATTAAGGGTTTGGCTTGGGGCAGGGCTGTTCTGAGAAATTTTAGGTGGCTTACTAATAATAATTTATGCAACTAAAGTTCCATTTAGAACAAGAACAATGCATCCTTTTTACACAGAATCATTTCTAAACACATTTATTGTAGTTTAAAATCACATTATATATGATTATAATTGCTGCGGAGCTCTGTTTTACACTCAGACACACCAACAATATGGAGCTCCTAGAAAAGTGGGACAGAGGGATTTAAGAATTAGGACTGACCCTCCTAATTAGGGACACTTGGGAGGTATGACATACAGAGAAGAAACCCTAAAATATCCTCAAAAATGTATTGTTGCTAGCAACTTGTCTCTCATGTCCCCAGAAGTGGGAAACCAGAGTACAAACTGAGGATGTCTAAAAATTGGAATGTCCTGACTTGACAGAGACCAGGAAGTGTCAGAGATCTGGCTGCAATTTTGGGTGTTCCCTTGCCCCCCACACCACCACTAATTTCAGGTGGTAAGAGGATGAATTCAGAAAGATATGTACAAAGAAACATATCAGTATGTTTCTTATCTGTACAACCTCTGATCTCTCCAATGTTCCATTTCCTTTATTTGACCGCCATCTGCTGACCTTTGACATCAGCATACCCCCTACCCAAATTTCACCACCCTCAACTCTCCAATCTCACAGAAACCTCCACTGCCTTGATCTCCAGCATTTCTCCACCAAACTCCAAACTCTCCTTTTACCCATCTCAAATCTCACTTGCCCTAACTCTAAAACCTCACTCTACAACTCCACTCTCTCATCTAGACATCATGGCACCTTGTACATTTTAATGCAGCAGGTGTTTACAATTACAAACCTGGAACACCAAGCTGACCCGATATCTCCAAAAATGTTCCAGAACTGCTGAACGCTGTTGGAGAAAGTCTCACTCTGCACCGGACTTCCTCCACTATAAATGTATGCTGCGCTCCTACACTCTGTCTCTTTCCTCTGCAAAAGTAAATTACTTCAACACCCTCATACGCACACTGTCCCGCCAACCCAATTGCCATTTTCACACTTTTAATGCTCTCCTTTGCCCTGTTGCTCCCCCTACCACCCCGTCCGCCTCAAACTTTGCAACTCATGTCACTGAGAAGATTTCTACAATCAGGGAAGAGATCGCTAACCTCTCACCCTCCCCTTCCAATACATCACCCAACCTCACTCACTCCACTGTTCTATGCTCATTCGCACCTACTACAACGGAAGAGGTTTCTGCTCTGCTCCGGTCCTCCCGCCCCACCACCTGTTCCCTCAATCTTATTCCCTCATATCTCATCCACACTTTGTCTCCCTCTCTTGCTCTTCCTCTCACTAAAATTTTCAATCTCTCCCTTTCCTCTGGCACATTTCCTTCACCCTTAATGCATGCAACCATAATGTAGATTCTGAAAAAGCCCAACCTTGCCCCAACTCCCTATACAACTACCGCCTTATATCGCTACTGCCATTTGCCTCCAAGATCCTTGAGAGAGTTGTGTATGCAAGACTGACAGACTTCCTCGAATCCAACTCTCTACTTGACCCGCTTCAGTCTGTATTCCGCACACGTCACTCTGTTGAAACAGCTGTGACCAAAGTATCCAACGATTTAATTGCTGCTAAATCCCATGGCCATTACTCTATCCTAATTCTCCTTGATATTTCTGCTGCCTTTAACACTGTTGATCATCAATAGCTTCTTCTCATTCTCCATAATCTCAGTCTACGAGATACTGCTCTCTCCTGGTACTCCTCCTACCTCTCCCAGGGCTTTTTTAGTCTTTCTTTCTCAGGCTCTGCCCCTTCTCCCCAACTCCTCTCTGTTGGCGTTCTCCAAGGTTCTGTCCTTTGTCACCTACTGTTTTCCATCTATACTGCCTCCTTTGGCTTCCGTTATCATTTATATGCAGTTGACACACAAATCTACCTGTCCTCTCCTGAGCTCTCTCGACCCACCTTGACTCGTGTCTCTGACTGCTTCTCTGCGATTTCCAACTGGATGGCTGCTCACTTCCTTAAACTCAACCTGTCCAAAACAGAACTTCTGGTCTTTCCTCCCTCAAGTGATGCTACTCCCGTGTCTGTCTCCCTCCAAGTCAACGGCGCCACTATCACCTCTACCTCGCAGGCTCGCTGCCTAGGTGTTCTCTTTGACTCCGACCTCCCCTCATGTCCAATAGATTGCCAAATCCTGCCGCTTCCATCTTAAAAACAGAGCTTGCATCCGCCCCTATTCAGCACCAGACACAGCTAAGGTGCCTTTGTTCTTTCTCGCCTTGACTACTGCAATCCCCTTCTCAGTAGTCTTACGTGTTCCCAGATTGCACCGCTGCAATCTATAATGACTGCGCCGGCGAGGCTCATTTTCCTGTCCACCCTACATTGGCTTTAAGTTAGATATAAGGCTCAATTTAAGATTCTGATGCTTGCTTACATAATACTGCTCCAACCTACCTATCCTCCCTAATACAAGTATGTCCCGCCGAGGCTCCTGCGCTCTGCCGAAGACCTACGTCTATTCTCTGTCTGTACTCCCACATCTGATGCTTGCCTCCAATACTTCTCCAGGGCTGCACATTTTCTGTGGAACTCCCTTCCCTTCTCTGTGAGAATTTCACCCAGTCTCCACTCCTTCAAAAAAAATCTTTGAAAACACACTTCTTCAGGAACGCATATCATTTAAACTGTTAGCGGGTTTTCATTCCCCCCCCCATGACTCCTCTCCTGCAACTTTCAAAAATAAAGTTCTCAGTGAATACTTTTCTAGCAACCTATTTGGTTCCCTACTTATACCCTTTGTGTCACTATACCCCTTTCCCTCTAGCATGTAAACTCATTGAGCAGGGCCCTCAACCCCTCTGTTCCTGTGCGTCCATTTGTCTGGTTACAATTACATGTCTGTTAGTCTACCCATTGTACAGCTCTACGGAATTTGCTGGCGCTATATAAATAATAAATAATATGAAAAGAAAAAAAAAATACTGAGACGCTGTGTTGGCCTCCATTCATTCTTTAGAATGCTTCTTGTTCGTATATTTTTCAATGAATAAGACAGGGGGAATGTGTCTTTTTTGCACAAGCATGCTTACTGTACACTGTCCAACGACAAACCCCTGTATGTACCACTGCATTTTCCACTGCGTTGTCTCAAAATTCTAGTTGCTAGAGAGACTACCAAATGGAAAAGGGTGCTAATTATATTTTTTGTGGACGTGGTTTTTGCAAGAAAAGAAAATGCAAAATGTGATTTTTACATGATGGTACACCACACTTTAGATCCCCAGGGTGCCCTAGCCCACAACCATATTCCAGTTTAACAGGTATTTCAGCCTTATGGATATAGGCACAAAGACCTGTAAATCCTTTTAGTTGAGTTGAAAAGTCCACTGCTTTATGACACAGTCATGCTGCTCTATTCAGAATAGAAATATAGTTGTGACCAGCTAAAATCCTAATAGTGGACGTCAATGATACAGGTTTCCTTTGAATGTTTGTAGGAAGCAAGGGCAGCAAAGAGTGGACACTTAAAATAATCAGGTTTAGAGTCTCTTTGATAAAATAAACGGGGATTCTGAACCATTTTATGACAGAGAAACAGCTTAGGTACATAGCAATAGCCCATTTACCCATTTGTCAGTTGTAAAAAAACTACTCTGTGTATCCTTAAATTTTAAATAATACATTCTAATATTCTATCGTTAGGAGTTTCAGAATCTGCAAATTTGGGGTACCAGTCACAATCAATGGAGACCCATTAATAAAGTATAGAGACCACAATTTGGGTGAATGCAACACATGGGTTAAAGACCACTGCTATTCAAGATACATGATGTTAGCAACTGAAGCATAAATATTTAATAGAATGAAGGCAAAGATTCCTCTTTCTCACCCAGAGACATCGTCTCACTGCAGTATAACCGAATGACAACTTCAATCCCCACCCCAAAAAATGAGGCGGGCAAGCTTAACCTTGGGGAAAAAAACAACTCACAGCAATGGCTAGATATCTCACCGTTAGTTTCATGGGCCTCACACTGTGAATCAATGTTTAGCTAAATTGCAGTGCTTATACACTTTCCTGATATTGGATGATCCCTAGGGGCTGGGCTGCCTTCACGGTGGGTACTCTGTTTGAACAAGTCAGCACTGTTTATTTAGATGCCAATGAAGATGCTGTGGTGTTTTCTTTCATTGTTCTGTTAAAATTAGTACTTCAAATGACCTACAGTGCTTTCTAAAACCTGGTACGATCATTCAGGCTCATCTAATTAATGAGGTGGAATATCATCTCACTGTGTTAGGAGAAAAAAAAACATTAAAAGCTTCCAGCACAGCCAGCCAGTCCTAAGCATCCATCGCATCATCCACCCCAGTATAATGCCTAGTCCCCTTGCAGGGATACATTGCTTCATATAATTTTCATTCTGCGGTACCTGTACAGGTCATTAACTGTAATCCTTGTGATCTCATCTCTCTCACAGGAGCTCAGATGTTCTGTCCTGTTTGGAGACTCTGACTGAGCAGCCTTTATCTTACTCTTAAAATCAGTGCTAACACTCACATTAACCTTTGATCAGTAATCAGACAATTTAGCAATTCAAAGTCTACAGTCTACGGCCTAACATACCGTCCTCAATATCCGCTTGTCCATCTATCTGCCTGTCTATTTAATTACAAAAATTATACAGTCTAGATATATGCTGTTCTATCCTCTTCAGGCTCCATGGACCCCAATATGTAAGAAAAAAGGCATCGTCCTAGTAACTGGGTCAATAGACAGCTGTGCTCATTGCACTACAGCAATGTGCATTTCTGTAGTCTGTGCAACAGTGACTGCAGCTCCCCACAGAACGAATAATCCCACTGCCATCTGTCCCATCTCTCATCTGATCCTGACACGGTTCATGGTCTTAGTGCTGTCCAGCTGTTTCAAGGGGTAAGCACTTTAATATGAAATATAAAAAAAACGTTGAGACACTGGCGCATGGGTCTGCAGCCATCTTCAGCATCCATCCCACAGGACTCATCTTTACAGCCCTGACCTAAATAACAGGTCTGACAAGGGCACCTTGCATGAGTAGCAACTATGTATAATTTTAGAAATATTTCATATTTTATTAGTGGAGGAGAGGTATAGTAGATGAGTAGAAGACACAGTCTAAGCTCGGAGGATGGTCGGGTTTGATAGGAATGATTGATATGTAGATTATGCTCCAAGTGGAATGAAATGGACTAATACGTTGAAATAATGAAAGAATCCTTTGGGGGCAGAGCTCAAATAAATATAAAAAAATCTGAGCTGTCCAAGTCTAGAAGATAAAGCATTATATAGTATTTTACATTTAAATACATTATATAATAATGTTTAGTTAGCACAGTAGATAGCCTACATATATGGCTCTTGATATACATATATTGTATGTAGAAAGGAGGCTATTGTTCTATAGTGTGGGGCATATATGATCAGTTTACTGAATGTTCCAATGGCACAGAGTATTTAAAATGCATAGACCATAGAGTAACATTGCTTTGCAACATGAAAAGAGGGTTTTTGTGTTAATGCATCTCTAAGAGTCTACAGCAGTTATGTATGGGGGTGTCAGGAGCTCTTATGTGTAATTAACATTCATACGGATGACACGTACATAATATCAGTGATGGCAAAACTTGGCATGCCAAAAATATGTAAACTGCATTTATCATGATGCTAAAAGCCAGCTGGCAAGATTACCCAGCATTGAACTGTACAAACTATAGCCCAGGCATGGTACTTGAGGCTTTGTGCATTTACAGACAGCAATTTAAACTAATATCACTGTGAAACCCCTGGAATTTTTTGTATCTGTGTGAATACCACTATATCTCTATCCATAGGAGGGTATGATTCAGGCTCCTACAGATATTTCTGTGAAGCTGGTGGACGTGTTTTAGCAAAAAGTGACATACTGTGTTATGCTTGTCAAGTCCCGCCCAGTCTCTATGAATTTAATGGATATATTCCAATCTATGGAATTGTTTGCCAAAAAGTGTTTTCTTCCGAACGATTGTTGAAATGTGGCTATTCACATATGTCGTTGACACTGACGTATAATGTAGGGGGGTGGCATGGTGTGGGGGAATTATTATGAAAGGTGATAACTGCAGGGCTCATTTAGACTGTCCACTTTCTTATTATTAACTTTGCACCATAATTGCTTTTATAACTATCCCTTGCATACTTAAACTTCAACGGCTGCTGGAAGATTATTCCACGTGTCTACTATCTTGTCAGTGAAGTAATTCTAACTCATGTTTCAGCTTTTTGAATTTTAGTTGTCTTTGGATTGTACTTCCATACTTCAATTTGTTAAATCCCTTTGAGCGCTTTTATGTTTTAATAAATACCACCCCTTCTTTTCTTTTCTCTGTACTATACACACCATAGTCATTTTGGGCCTTCTGTGGACTCTGCCCAACCTTTTACACAGCTGATTTCCAACTTCCTGCATGGCTGACCAGACAAAGTATGAATGAAAAATCCATCTCTAAAGGCAGATGATCCACCAGTAGTGATTAATAGGACACTTTTTCAGAATATAATCAATTTAAAATGGCGGCCTGACTGCAAGATTGATTATCTGACAAAATTGATCATCCACAAAACACAGCCCCTCCATTGACTGAGGATTACCAATTATGTATTGTATATCCTCATTCCAAAAATAATTTAATTGCTTTTAAAGGGGATATATTTGCTGGAGTGATTTATCATATATTACATATTATACTCGGCTGTTGACACATGTGTCTGTTGTTTGACACAAGAGCAAGAAATAGGGATGGTCTTGTCCTAACCATGAACTGTGGCAACTGTGTGCACAACAACACAGAATAAGCATGCTTTCTCCTCCCCCAAAAATGGCACGATGTGGTTACCACGGTAACCATTAAGAGAAACGCTTTCTTGGTAGCACAGAAGACGCTGTGATATAACAACAGCATACTTCAGTTCTATTTATTGATCAGAGTTAAGGGATAGAATGCCCCCCTCCTACTGTTCAACTAAAATTCTCATTTTCTGGATGAGCTTACATGCTACGAGCTCTTTTCGCTCCACGTTAGATATATCTTTGATTTAGTGTGACTAGGTTGTTATTTTGTTGTTCTTGAGTTTTGCTTTAAAGGACCACTCTAGGCACCCAGACCACTTCAGCTTAATGAAGTGGTCTGGGTGCCAGGTCTCTCTAGGATAAACCCTTTTTTTTTTATAAACATAGCAGTTTATAAACATATGTTTATAAATAGGTTAATCCAGCCTCTAAAGCCTCTAGTGGCTGTCTCATTGACAGCCGCTAGAGGCGTTTGCGTGCTTCTCTATGTGAAAATCGTGCTTTCCTATGAGACAGGCTGAATGCGTGCGCAGCTCCTGCCGCGCATGCGCATTCAGCCGAAGAGGAGGATCGGAGGCGGAGAGGAGAGCTCCCCGCCCGGTGCTGGAAAAAAAGGTAAGATTTAACCCCTTCCTCTCCCCAGAGCCCGGCGGGAGGGGGACCCTGAGGGTGGGGGTACCCTCAGGGCACTATAGTGCCAGGAAAATGAGTATGTTTTCCTGGCACTATAGTGGTCCTTTAAACATATGATGGTATTTGGATGGCTTCTCTGTAAGTGACATGCCGTAGTCTAAAAAATACTTTTTCATGATCTGTGGTAGGGCTTCTACACCCACCTGCTAAGAAATGCAGACCGACTTGCATTTTAATTGGGTTTATTCCCTAAACTTGTGGAGAACTGACAAAGAAATTGAGGATTTTAGGGTAAAATAGAAACTTATTTAGATCTACAATATGCAATTGGCTCACCAATTCTTTACAATTCCTGTGTTTCTTAATAAATCCCATTAAATGTCAAGGAAATAACAAACTGGGACTTGCATTATATCAGCCGTGTCGCAGTTTATGCAACACTATAGAAAGTGCGTGATACTATAAGTCATAAATAGCAGCCTACTAAAAAAGCAATATGGCTGATTTCATACTCACTCATAAAAGTGTTCTATTCTCGACAAGTCTGAGTAACATTTTGTTATCCTGCAGATGAGGGTGAACTCTTCCTGAAGGTGCTGATCCCCAGCTATGCGGCCGGCTCCATTATCGGGAAGGGGGGGCAGACTATTGTCCAGTTGCAGAGAGAGACGGGAGCCACTATCAAGCTATCTAAATCCAAGGACTTTTACCCAGGTAACAGAGAGAGGATCGAACATGTAATGTATATCTGAGTCTTTCACTGACAAAGCTTTACTAAATTGCTGTAGAAAAGGAAGACAAAAAAATACATTCATTCAAGATAATAAATCATTATATTATTTTACAGTATATGGCAAGTATTCCCATAAAAGATGTGTGCAGTCAGTATTAAAATCTTAAAGGCGAATCTTCGAATCTCTAACAAGTTACACCATTGAATAAAACATTAAAAATCACATTTCACTTGTTTTAACCTTTTTTCATATGACGCTCCATTTAAAAAACAAAACCAAAAAGTTAAAAAAAAGTATTCAGGGTTATTGCTTTCACAATCAGTTTAGTCGCGGCACAGCCACGGCACACTGAAATGCATTGGAGGAGAAGAAGGCTAATGGTTTCTGTTTTTCTCTTATTGGTACAAAGTGTCCAATGACTTGCTTCAAAGTGAAGGCAACAAAATGAGACGTCAACATTTTGAAACACAACACATTAGAGCACTAACCAGAGCCTACTTAGACTGAACGGCTGACAGGATATTATGATTTAAGGAGCCATGCAGGGGACACAAATGTGAATTTAAAGACGCACACTTTGTATTCCTGTATACATATATATTTTTGTATTATCTAGGATGCTGTATCTATTACCATGTATAACGATACAATTTTAGTTTGTGGATCTTTATTTACAAGTATACAGTATACGCACTCGGTATTACATAAGTACATACATACACAGAACTGGCACTCCCCAAAAACAAAATAGATATCGACAGAACTAACTTGGATGCTTCTTCCCAGTGCAAAAATACAAAAGGTAAATAAAGGAGCACTCTCCGGATTTCCAAAAATGTATATTCACAAACTCAAATAATCAATCAACATTTCAACCCTCCTGGGTCTTGATCAAGATTATTTTGTATATAAAGACTCCCTCCTATTAGTCAAATGTCATACATGTGTGTGTATATAATGTCATTTTTTTCTAGTCTCCTCGGAAGGTCCAAGTCTTGCCAATTCACTGTTTCACATGCACACCCAGTTGCACATGAACTGTCCACACACAGCGAACATTTTGCTGTTAAACAGTTTCACAATTGGTGCCGTACTTAAACTGCTGGCTAGCAAGACATAATTCCATGGTTTAAACTGATGAAATGGGGGAGACATTTTATATAATCATGTCATTTTGTGGCATTACTGTAGCATATTGCTATTAAGAGATAGAGAAGGCAGCTAAGCTGTAAGAGAATTAACATTATAGTATCTGCTATTAACCTGCTGGAATTTGAATGGCAGTGTTAGGATACAGGGCCTAAATTAAAGGGACACTCCAGGCACCCAGACCACTTCTGCCCATTGGAGTGGTCTGGGTGCCAACTCCCACTACCCTTAACCCTGCAACTGTAATTATTGCAGTTTTTTATAAACTGCAATAATTACCTTGCAGGGTTAACTCCACCTCTAGTGGCTGTCTACTAGACAGACACTAGAGGGCACTTCCGTGTCCATAGCACAGGTTTTCTGTGCTAGAGCGTCGCTGGACATCCTCACACTGTGTGAGGACCTCCAACGTCGCTCAATTCCCCATAGGAAAGCATTGAAAAGCATTTTCAATGCTTTCCTATGGAGAGCTCTAATGTGCGTGTGCGGCATTGCCGCGCATACCCATTAGGTCTCCTCAGCCGGCGGGCGGGATCAGTCTCGCCCACCGGCTGACGTAATGACTGGGAGGAGCGGCAGCGCGCAAAAAGCACTGCTGAGGGACATCGGCGGGGTCTCAGGTAAGTGACCTGAAGGGGTTTTCACCCCTTCAGCAACCGGGGATGCGAGGTGGGAGGGAGAGGGGACCTGCAGTGCCAGGAAAACAGATGGTTTTCCAGGCACTGGAGTGTCCCTTTAACATGATATGTTCAACTTGAATGGATTTTTTCTTCTTAATATTTTCTTATAATTATTATTGGCATTTATAAAGTGCCAGCATATGATGCAGCCCTTTAAAATACTAATATGGATATATAACTATCCCAACTGTTAACAGGAAACAAGAAGTTATTGAAAACAATATGATAATCTAGTATTTTAGATTACTGTTTATGTCTGTTTTATGTTATTTGTAACATATTGTTTCAGTGGTCTTTTTTTTGTGTGTAAAATATCTGTATTCATGATTAGGGCCAGAAAGTTAGTATGTTTTAGCCAAAAAGGCTTAAAAAAAAATTTAATAAATAAATAAATAAAACAATGAATTGGCCTGGTACGGAGAGTAATTACAGGAGTTATGGGATTGATATCTTAATTAGGGAGTTTCCTTTGAAAAAGAGAACACATGGTCACCTTAATCTGTAAAACACGTAGTCTGCATGATACCACTAAGGCTCAAGTTTGGGGGTGGGGGGGAGAAAGGTTCATTGCTATGCGGTCTGTGGTAGACCTCAGGCTGAACTATTGTGTTCGTTGCAACAAAGGCTTGACGATTTCCTGCAGGCCAAAATGTAATAGATTAGCATTGCAACTGTTCACAGTCAAGTAGGTTTGATAAGACATAGAAGGGCTCGGGTTGCCATGGAAACAGCTTATGCAGTCTTGGCTTTGTAGGCCGCAGCCATACCCATTGTAATACTAAACTGCAATCAGGATAGCCAACCACAACACAGGATCTGTGACTGCATCCTGGGCTGTAATGAGTTGCCATGGAAACAGCTCAATACCAGAAAGGCTTGGCAATGCCTTATAGGCTTCCAGGTTACCTTGGAGACCACACTACCACAAAGGCTGGTTTAGGCCACAGCCTGAGTCATTGTGGTCCCATGTTGTCATGGTAAAAGCGCGCAGTGAATCAGATTTGATAGGCCTATGTTGGCTTTAATGTACAAGGCATTTAAAATGGACCAAGAATTAAAATAAAAATAAAAAAATAAATAAATAAAACACTCACTTTCCACATTACACTGAATTGTATCTGCTGTTTTCAAGTGTGTCCTGGAATCATCATGTCAGCTTTATATTTGTAAAAAAAATACATGCTCATAATATAAATTTTTATATGCCTCTATAACAAGGTTTATTTACAATTTAAAAAAATCTAGCCAAATTACAAATCACAGAACTTGGCGTTCCAGGTCAGAATGAATCAGGGCACATATAATTGATGCTGATGGTGCCAGCGGGTAACATGTCCTTACATTAATGGCATGCTATAAAAATCACACAGTAACATGCTTTGGGAGAAACATTTTATTTATATATTGTGCTAGCCTAATTTCTACCAGACATATAGATTAAATTTTATTTTTACTTTATGAGTTCAGCTTACACCTCCAGGCTACGTAGAGGTAAACACCATCTGCCGCAGTGGCAATAGCATTTAAATGACTATTAAATGACTATCAGGTAATTTCATGTATTGTGAAATTACAATAACTTGTTTTAAAGCATGTGCAGAAATCTAGGCTGAAGAACTGTTCCCAGAGTGCATACAACATTTCAAATGGACAAAAAAAAAGACACTTTAATTTCAGGGGTATGAGTGGCGGTGTGAGCAGGGGCAGGGCTGTCCTGAGAAAATGTAGCTGACTTATGAATAACAATATGGTCACGAACAAAGTATCTTATTTACACAGACTGATTTCTAAACACATTTATTGTAGTTTAAAGACATTACTGGGAGTATCATTGCTACACTCAGAGGCAGCAAAAAAATATGGAGCTCCTAGAAAAGAGGACATTAGGATATAAAAAAGGGACAGAGGAATTTGGGCTCAAAACAGGGAATGTCCTCCTAAATAGGGACACTTGGGAGGTGTGCCTTAATCCATATTGTCACAACAACAATCAGTATAAGGAGGTAAACTCTATGTATGATCAAATGAAATCAACAGGGTGCAAACCTAGGTAGACATTCTGTGTTTGACACCCTAGGTTTCACATTAATATATAAATATACCAGGATGCACACCAATGATAGTGAAAATATACTGGCTTAATTACACAATATTAGCATAATTAACATACACACAAAAAAAAAAACCACAAAAAAGTGACAGTGAAAAGGGCTAGAATCTACACATCAATATGTAACAGTATTACCATCAATAGCCTACCAAGGCAGGACACAAGCCACCAGATCCCCAATGTTTCGGCACACAAAAGAATGCCTTTCTCAGGGGAACTGTTAATCCATACTGTGCCAAGCCTTTTCCACAGGGCAGTGTCTGTTCTGCATGAGAAGGGCAAAGTCCACATAAAGTAGTTATTATCCCCTTTTATATAATGGCAACTTCTGAGACATCTTAAATTTTTTTCTTTTTACAAAAGCCAGTCATAGCAGTAACGCAGATATTGGTGCTGCTGTTGGGCCTTCCCTAGCAACATATTGTGAGACTGAGTGACAGGTGCAATTTCTGAAAAATAGGTCAAATGGAATTAAAATATTTTACAGATTTTACTATGAGCAGACTGCAACTTTATTATAAAAACATGCATAAAACAGATCTAGAGGCAAGTTGGGGAGACATGAGATACACAGGCAGAATTAGCATGATAAAACGTCAGTGGAGCAAACATATTACTGTACTTTTGTTTCATTAAACGGACACTATAGTCACCCAGACCACTTCAGCTCAATGAAGTGGTCTGGGTGCCAGGTCCCCCAGGTTTTAACCCTTCAGATGCTAACATAGCAGTTTCAGAGAAACTGCTATGTTTACATTTGGGGTTAATCCAGCCTCTAGTGGCTGTATTCCGGACAGCCACTAGAGGCGCATCTGCGACGCTGTATGCGAAATTCGCATCCATAGGAAAGCATTGAGAAATGCTTTCCTATGGACTTTTTGAATGTGCGCGCATGCGCATTCCGCTCCACTAGGGAGCTGATGTCAGACGGGGAGGAGAGGTCACCAGCGCCGAGAGAGCCCGGCGCTGGATAAAGGTAAGTGGCTGAAGGGGTTTTAACCCCTTCAGCGCCACGGGAGGTAGACCCTGAGGGTGGGGGCACCCAACTGCTTTGCTTTCCTGACACTATAATGATCCCTTAAGAAAATGTAATTCTGCAATATTTTGATGGCATTTTCAAAACAGGTTTGATTTATGGCCTTTGTTTACTGCAACATTTATTGGTAAAATGTGTATGTTTAGGGAATTTGTCAGTGTCCACTCTAAGTACACTGCTTCTAAAAACATACCCACAGCCTGTAATTGCTTATAAATTTCATTCTCTTCACAGGAACTACAGAAAGGGTATGTCTGGTTCAGGGAACCGCCGAGGCTCTGTTATCTGTACACAGCTTCATTGCAGAAAAGATGCGGGAGGTACCTCAGGGAGCAGCAAAAAACGATATGGGGGTTCTCATGCCCCCCCAGACCACTATTAATACGGAGCGAGCCAAGCAGGTGCGTAGATGTCTGGCTCACATACAAAGTCATGAATATGCAATCTTAGAAAAGACTGCAGCCCACAGCAGCTGCATTTTTGACAAATAGTGATATGGCTGTGAAAATGCCATAGAAAAAAAAATAAAGCCATCATTTGTGTCAGCTGCAAGAAATTAGGAATTGAAAACCAAGCTAAAAATGGATGTGGCTTTTTTAGAGTAGTGTCTTAGTTGATTTATAAACAAAGTTGCACAAGCAACATGTTATACATGCCAGCTATATGGTCCTCCATTCTATTGCAATATAAGGACCTAATAGTCGTTCTTTGTTGTAAATATTTATAAAATACATAAATATTTATACATATACAAATTATAGAGTAATTACACTATATTTATATACACGCATACACAAATTAGCTCAGGTCCTCTGGTACTACCCCAGACATAACAGCCAGACATTGCTGTCCATATCTACATGGCTTTGTAAAGATTGTGTGGTGCATGTGGTGTAATGTGAATGTAATTTTAAAAGTAAATGACATTGAACATTTTCAATTATAGAATCAGTCTTACTAAAGTCATCAGCGCTTTTTATATCATTTGATCTTTTGTTTCCACTTATTCGACAGGCCAAATTGATTGTTCCAAACACAACAGCTGGCCTGATTATTGGCAAGGGTGGCGCAACTGTACGAAGCATCATGGAAGAATCGGGGGCCTGGGTTCAGCTTTCACAGAAGCCTGCAGGGCCCAATCTCCAGGAACGGGTGGTGACAGTGAGTGGGGAAGCCAGTCAGGTCCAACACGCCCTGCGTAGTATCATCCACAAAGCTAAGGAGGACCCACCACAAGGGAATGCACACCTGAACATCAGCTACACTAACTCACAAGGCCCCGTGGCCAACTCCAATCCCACTGGGTCGCCCTACGCTGGTGGAACAGCAGAGCCAGCCCTTACTCCTTTTCCAACTGCACCACCAGCTCCACCAGCCATCACCGGAGGAGACCTCCTGGCAATCTCTACTGCACTCAACACCTTGGCCAGCTATGGTTACAGCACAGGCTTGGGCTTCAATCCACTAGTAGGGGGAGTCCACCCAGCTGCAGTAAGTCTGCTTGCATCCTATGCGGGAGAGGCAGCTCCAGCAATGGGGCTGGGTGGTGGTGGAATCCTGGTGGAAAAACTGGCAGCAGAGAGTGTGGCAGGCAAGGAGACATTAGAGATGGCTGTTCCAGAAACTTTGGTAGGCGCAATCTTGGGCAAGGGTGGGAAAACATTGGTTGAATACCAAGAGCTAACAGGAGCTCGCATCCAAATCTCAAAGAAGGGAGAATTTGTGCCGGGAACAAGAAGCCGGAAGGTGACCATCACAGGACCTCCAGGCGCCACACAGGCAGCACAATATTTGATTGGTCAGAGGGTGGCTTATGAGCAGGGGGTGAGGTCCAGCAACCCACAAAAGGTGGGTTAATTTGAATGGAGGGTAGGGGAGAAAGTTTGGTGAATGTGGGAGAAAGAAGGGAATAAAGAGGGGAAGGAGTTTGGCACCTGTTGGAATGGAAAGAGAGGTGGGAGCCAGGGTTGACGAAGGGAAGGTTGTTCGTATAGAGGCTATGAGCAAAACCTTAAGTCTACTACCTCTAGAACAACAGGGGGCAAGAATCACAACGCTTGGCACCTCTAGAACTGGATTGGGAGGCAGATAGGTGGCTACAACTAGGCCTAGCTGAGGGAGGAAGAGAGGACCTAGTTCTTCTTATGGACAAAGGTAAATGTGTTATTTTTACCCTAAAAAATGTGAAAATTCAGATTTTTATCGCAAAACATATTAGAAAAAAAAAGCAATAAAAGCATATTTTGCACTGGACCAACACTCCCCATACAGGGTAATATTGTAACTAAAAGGTCAGAGGAATCTCGTCGTCCTTAGTCCTCATAAACCTTGCAAGGTGAGAAAAACAGAAGTGACTGGTTAGTCACAAGATCTGCAGGATGAGACAAAAGGAAACTGGTCCTCTAAATCAAGGTGGCAAAACGTCTCAAAGTAGGCCTGGTACCTAGCTCCTATAACATCACCAGTGACATCATACATCATCATACGCCTCTCATTATTTAATTTTCCTTAAATCCATACAATTGTGCCAAACACTACCTTTCCCTAAGAACCAGTGCCAAATGCATGTTCTCCCCTCCTCCATTTCAAGAAGAATAGTTCTGCATTTCACATTACCATGATAGATAGGATGCATCTAGAGCTACTGTGAAACATTTTGCTTCCTTGTAGCTGCTTAATGCCATAAAAAATAAAAATAAATAACATTTCGGGGTCCAGTAAATATGCAGATTTCATGCAGAACGTTATCGGGCGGAGGTCGAGTTTTCATTCAGAGTTGAAATTAGCCAAAATGTCTCGCAAGTTAGAATTTAGTTGTGTAAAAAAAAAAACAAAAAAAAAACTGCAGTATCTGGGCTAACATGCAGCATAAATCTGAGAAAATACATTTTTTAGGCGATATATAGCATATCTGTGGGAATATATGGGGTGTGTTAGGGTATCTTTTGAGTTGAATAGTATTTTGTGCACATAAAGGGAGGTACGCAGGAATAGCGACATAATTTGGAGAATACATGAGGGCATGGCTATTACTGCATAAAATCTCTACCCCACACATACACCTTTGTATAACACCAGAGCACCCCGTCTATACTGACTGTGCCAAACACTGCCTGGGTTACGGAGGTGATTGTGTGTAGATTCCTAAAATGTCTCTGTATAGATAAATGAAACTGTATTTATATTATATATACATAATTATGTGTGTGTCTTTTTCTGGGAATGATTTTATATGGGGGTGGAAGGGGACAAGAACTATAAGCTGCCAAGTAATTTAGGTATTTTAGTTATGTCTCTGGGCAACATGTGTTGTCCAATATAAACATGTCTCAAGGAGAACGTGAAGAGCCAGGTAATTTATTTATTGATAGTCCTCTTACAAAAAAAACGGAAAAAAAAACATGAAGAGGACTATAAAATATCTCAGAGTATACTGAATTAAACAATGATTTAAGTGAGAATGCAGTGATCTAATCCTGAGTGCATACAAACTAATGTATCACTGTGTGCAGTAAAATTGCATAATCCTAACAATGTGTGCAGTAAAGTGGACTAACACTAAGCCAGTGTTCAGTAAAATTAAATTGGACTACTTTAACCCTGTGTGCAGTGAAATGGATTAACCCAAACCCTGTGTGCTGTGAAATGGTATAACCCTAACTCTCTGTGCAGTGAAATGGAATAATCCCAACACTGAGTGCAGTGAAATGGTATAACCCTGACCCTGTAGGCAGTGAAATGGTACAACCCTGACCCTCTGTGCAGTGAAATGGTATAACCCTAACACTGTGTGCAGTGAAATGGTATAACCCTAACACTGTGTGCAGTGAAATGGTATAACCCTAACACTGTGTGCAGTGAAATGGTATAACCCTGACCCTCTGTGCAGTGAAATGGAATAACCCTGACCCTCTGTGCAGTGAAATGGTATAACCCTAACACTGTGTGCAGTGAAATGGTATAACCCTAACACTGTGTGCAGTGAAATGGTATAACCCTAACACTGTGTGCAGTGAAATGGTATAACCCTAACACTGTGTGCAGTGAAATGATATAACCCTAACACTGTGTGCAGTGAAATGGTATAACCCTGACCCTCTGTGCAGTGAAATGGTATAACCCTAACACTGTGTGCAGTGAAATGGTATAACCCTAACACTGTGTGCAGTAAAATGGTATAACCCTAACACGGTGTGCAGTGAAATGGAATAACCCTGACCCTGTAGGCAGTGAAATGGTATAACCCTAACACTGTGTGCAGTGAAATGGTATAACCCTAACACTGTGTGCAGTGAAATGGAATAACCCTGACCCTGTAAGCTGTGAAATGTCATATCCCTAACACTGTGTGCAGTGAAATGGTATAACCCTAACACTGTGTGCAGTGAAATGTCATAACCCTAACATTGTGTGCAGTAAAATGGTATAACCCTAACGCTCTGTGCAGTGAAATGGAATAACCCTGACCCTGTAGGCAGTGAAATGTCATATCCCTAACACTGTGTGCAGTGAAATGGTATAACCCTAACCCTGTATGTATTGCCCCTGTGCCAAACCTAGCACGGCTTTAAACTGATTAACTCTAATCTTATATTTGGTGCAATGGACTAACGAAAGTCCCCACTCCAATGTGCTTAGAAATCAACTAACTACACAAATTGCATGCAGTAAAAAAACAATATGGCCAAAATAATTTGGAACAACTGAAGCAAATCAAAGACTTTAATTTGGATATGGTTTACTATAAATAATTCAACTACAGTATAGGATTCCCCAGAAATACCTACTAATCATGGGGACTCACATAACAAGAACATTGTTTCCATGTCATGCTGTAAGAATTACATTCCTTTTTTTTTCTTTTATTCTTTATCTAAAGACAGATACCGATCATATGCACTTTACAGGTTGAGCGTGTTTACATACAAGTTCGATCCATCTCACTTGTTTTATATTGAAAATACACAAACAAAAAGAGTCAAATGAAAACGATTATACACGGAATTGGAACATTCCTCCAGGAATCCTGGGATTATCTGTGTCCTGCAGTCTACCATCTCCTTGTCTTTTTGGATCAACATACATACTTATAGAGCTTCCTTTTAGCCTATGGACTCTTCATAACTCTGACATTAGTAAAAATAAATATTTACATAAAGAAAAGCAAGAGTATGGGGAATAGGGTAAAGGTGGTAAGATGGTTCAGGTGGTGACTAGATCAGATTCACATATTCGCCCCATACAGACCATATTTTGTAATATAGGGGATGGTTACCTCTAACCTTTGCAGTGAGTTGGGCCCTAATTCTGTTGTCTTCAATCAGTGCTTTAAGCTCTTTAATGGAAAGTAAATCCTATTCAAGCCAGTTGCTCACTATTGAATGTCTAGAGGCCAATGTTATTTTATTACATAGTTTTTGTATCTGTCTAGGAAACCTGTCTACAGGTCATGAAAACAAGTTTGACCATGTGTCTAGCACTGCCACCACATATGCATGTAAGTCCCTCTCTGTCCATATCTACTTCTGTTTTATCCACATAATACCAGAGTGAGAATCTGAACCATTGATATATCCCATAGTGGGGATTATACCACTTCATACTATTCACTAGGAGCCATCATAAGGCTCCAAAAATGTGAGTGTACACATATATTCACCTATTTTTTAACATTTGTTCCTATAAGGTAAACAATATGGAAATGGATGCAGCAGTATCCCACATGTCGTCCCATACCTGCTCCTCCAGGATCTCACCTAGGTCGGTCTCCCACCGCTTGGATTGTCATGTCACCCCCACCGCCTTGAGAATTCGAGAAAATATAGCTATAAATAGAGATCAGGCCTTTCTGTACAATGTCTCTGTTCCAATGGTTTTAAAAATAATTAAGCTCCTGTTTAGCTGTCTTTTTAACCCCTTTAATTTCATAGTCTCTGATTTGGATAAAACAAAATAAATCTCTGGGAGTCCTATAGGGTTTATCAAAGAGTTCTGCGGATTTTAAAGGTAAATTTACTTCCCGTAAATGGTATATACATTGTATCCCTGCCTCTTCCAGCTTTCCAAAATGCTATGGCTGCATCCGTCTTAGTTACTCAGACAGGAGGCCATGGGAGGTGCGACTCCTGATAGGTTAAACCTGTCCCGAACCCTATCCCATAATCTGATGGAGTTTAAGAAGGGTGGGCATTGGGTCTTTAGGATGGCTCTCTGAGACCCTCACAGGCATAAGTAAAACAGTGGCATATTATTAAAGTTCTACCCATCTCCTGACTCCTGGTGGGGCAAGCCATAACACTATCTGGGCCAGTTGGGCTGCGTAATAATATATAATAAGGTTAAGTAATCCCAGTCCTCCTCTCCTCATTGGTCTGTACAATAATTTTCTCCTTACAAGATTTCTTTCGTTATTCCATATGAAATGATCGATTAATGTTTGTAGGCTGTCAAGATCATTTTGTTTACAACTACTGAGGGGGCCTGGAACAAGAAAAGGAGGCAGAACAGCAAATTAATAATTTTAATTTAACGGACTCTATCCATCCACTAAATCATTTTACTTCCCCAGGTATCTATATTATGCCTGAGCATATGAAACAGGGGTGAGTAGTTAGATTTAAAAAGGATAGTTGGGTCTGAAGTGAGATTGATTCCAAAATATTTTATCATCTCTACTTTCACTGATAGGCTGTGAGTTTTACATAAATGCTCAATCAAATGCTTGCTGGAGGCACAGTCTCCCTGAGACCACATGTACACTGAATGATGTCCCTCTCCCTTCCTGGTAACCCTAAATATATGTGGTCATCCGTACCCTTTCCCTGTTTAAAAAAAAAAAAAAAAAAAAAAACACAAATATTTTCGAAGTACTTGAGAACACAGCATATGTAATTTGCATGATTTAGATTTATTCACTAGTGGTGGTATAAAAAAAAATCACTTCCCTGAAATCGCTCCCATTTATAAATGAATACACCATGTAGCATGAAGATACATGGTGTATTCAATTTACAATATAAAGACTTACTCACTTTTCCTCTGTTCCATGGCAGATTCGTGGGTATTACTGTTCATTAATTACCCACCTCCCGGCCGTCTTCTGCTCCTACTCCACTCATCCCGAGCATTTGTTTGATTTGCCCTGCTTGGGATCCATGCTGAAACACTGACTGTCAGCTGGGGAGAAAAAAGTGTTTAAATAGGTTTTTCTCTTACTCTGTAAAATTGCTAGCAAAACTGCTTGCACAATGTATAGATAGAATCCTATGAATAATCTAATAAATTGTTTGATGACAGTTGCCCTTTAAAGATGACCTTGTATCACATATAGCACTGTGTGGTTGTAAGCATAGTTTAGCAGCCTGCACTCTCAATGCTCTCCATTCTAGGGCTAGCCCACTGGGATTTTTCCCAGGAGACTACAGTATCAGAGGCTGAGTGACTGCCAGACTATTATCAGGGTTATTCACTGAAGTGAGAATTTATAGTGAATTTCATATTTAAGGCCAAAATAGCCGAACTGCAAACATTCTCTAAGTCAGCTATTATTTCAGTTTGACTGGCTTTAAAACTGAAATTCCATTTTATTTCACTTTGGAATCTGACTTTAGTATCTAACCCTGCTAGTGTTATTCACTAACGTGGGAATAGTTGAGAATGTGGAGTGAATTCAAAGTGAATTTCAAATTTAAGGCCAAAATAGCTGAATTAAAAAAAGTCATAGCCACAACATTAAACCCACTGACATGTGAAGTGAATAACACAGATTATAGTGTCACAATGGCACCTGTCAAGGGGTGGGTAATGTAAGGCAACAAGTGAACAGTCAGTTCTTGAATCTCATGTGTTGGAAGCAGGAAAAATGGGCAAGGGAAAAGGTCTGAGTGATTTTGACAAGAGCCAAATAGTGATGGCTAAACGACTGGGTCAGAGCATCTCCAAAATGGCCAGTCTTGTGGGGTTTTCCCAGTATGCAGTGGTTAGGCTTTTTGATGCATGTGGGGAATAAAGGCTAGCCTGTCTGGTCGATTAAACAGAATTGCTGAAAAACTTAAAGGAAAACTATAGTGCCAGGAACACAAAGTTGTTTTTCAGGGACAATAGCGCCCCCCTCGCTCGCACAAAACCCCTCCTCCCCCATGGTACAGAATGGGTTTAAAAACCCTTCTGTCACTTGCCTGATTCCAGTATCTATGTGGCGCTCCACCTCTGTCGACATCAGCGGGGGGGAACCGAATGCACTTGTATTAGGACTTCACCATAGGAATGCATTGTATAATGCTTTCCTATGGGGTTTCGGGTGACGCTGGATGTCCTCATGCAGAGAGGAAGGATGTCCAGCGTCAGTTCCACCCAGAAGTCCCACTAGAGGTGGAGTTAACCCTGGCAGGTAAGTATAGCACTTTGTCAAAACTTGCAATAGTTATCATTGCATGGTTAAGGGACAGAGTGCCCATGATGACCCCTGTCCATAGCCAAAAGCACCTTCAATGGGGACGTGAGAGTCAGAACAGGACCATGGAGCATTAGAAGACGGTGGCCTGGTCCGATGAATCACATGTTCTTTAAGATCAGGTGGACGGCCGAGTGCGTGTATGTAGTTTACCTGGAGAAGAGATGGCATAATGGGAAGTAGGCAGGCCAGTGGAGGCAGTGTTATGCTCTGGGCAATGTTCTGTTGGGAAACATTGGGTCCTGTACTCCAGATTCCCCACATTAAGCATCAATGGGATGTGCTGGAACAAAGTAATGTCTTGGTGCCAGATACCACAGGACACATTTAGTGGTCTTGAGGAGTCCATGTGCTAACACACCAAAGCGGTTTTGGCAATACGAGGGGGACCTACACAATATTAGGCAGGTGGTTTTATTGTTTTGACTGATCGGTGTAAACTGTAGCGTGTCCACACAGAATTCTGTGAATTGCATGTCGGGAAAAAAAAAGGCAATTTGTTTGTACCTGTCCCCTAGGCCAAGATTTGGCAGTCATTACCTGCTATTCCCGCACATTTATTAGGGATTTCTTGAAATATTCATACCCCTTATAATATGCATACTGACAAACCTACTTGGAGGCATTGGCCCTTCAGTTGTGATATAAGGGTGTAAATTAACAGTGCAACATCATTCGGCTGTATTGTATTGCAACCCGTTTGTGTAGATGCAGCGTGTTTTGACTTCTTTTCATAGATGCCTTCTGTCCTCATGCAGACCAGGAGATTAAGATATGGGAGTGGAAGTTGAGTATGTTGTAGCTAAGAAGGATGAAAATATATTACGTTACAGGAGTCATGATGCTTAGAGTCTGTATGTGCAGCATTGCAGTATGAAACACTGCACACACAGAGTTATAGCTGCTTGCTTCCTGAGGTGTCAATACACCTGGTGCAGCATTATTACAATCGCTGTGAAATCCGTGCATATTGGGTGTCTGTTGTCGGTCATTATGGTCACAGACAACCAATGGCAGCCGCCCAAGTCATCTTCAGGGGAGTGACATCACCGGAGGAAAGTTGGGCTGAGGGGGAACTTGGCCTTAAGAGTGGGGTCGCTGTTACGTTTTTGCTTTTTTTTTCTCTGCGGAGGACGATGGGGGAGGAAGGGGCGTGACTGGGGAGGGTTACTCTAACCAATAACAGTGGTTTATTTGGAGTAAGCTTTTAAGGAGCACTATGTGTGTGTGTGTGTATATAATTGGTCACAGGATGAGGACCCCTGGATATGTAGATATCTGCAAACCTGCCCGCTCATTTACAGTAACCCTCACATCATTCTACAGGGTAGGAGGACAGGGTTCTAGGGACTCCTGTATTAACTAAGTCATCCCACCACTCCACAGCATAGGAGGAAGTAAAGGGCAAAAGGGGAAATATTGAGGACCCTCCTGAGCTTTTCATTTCTATCTTATGAGAAAGTTATCAGAAGTGAAATCATACTGAAACTCCCAAAATAAACAGCTAAACAGAGCAATGTGGGGGCAAATTCACTGACTGACAATTGTCTGAATTTACATTCTTATCAAGAGTTCAGAGATCTTTTGTTTGTTGTTTTTTGGGGGGAGGGGGTTGTTTATTTTTTTTAAGACACTAAATTACCCTGAAGGAAATTTGCTAGACTGGGGTAAAACCATTATTCACTACAATAAATACCCAATTTGTTTTGTTTTCCATGTTTTGTTTAATGTTTAAGTCAGTGGAACCTGCATTGCAAAATGCAGCACACAAGAGCTGCTTTATAAACATTTCCAACGGTGCTATAGTAATCACTATAAGAGGCTACAATGATCTTTTTTTGCTTGAATTTTGTAATTTGATTTTCCCCACCAGTCCCTGCTTAATGAATAAACCCTATTACACACACCCCGTAGGTAGTGACACAGACTAACTTTGAACCTGTGTGTAGTGACTTTCATGCGATAAAACTGACTAACCCTGTGAAACTGAATGACCGAATTGGTATTCTTAGAAACGGACAAGCCATAACCTTGTGAGCAGTAATACTGGTTAAACCTGTGTGCAGTGAATGATGGTAGTTGCTGTCCATAGCATCTCGAGGACAAAATGTATTCTGTATACATCAACTGAGCAGAAGTAGGGAGTACCAATGTGTTCTCGCTTTTCTTGCATGGAGGATGCTGTCTAAGAATGATGTAGTTGTGGAAGTCATAGGTACATAAGAAAACCTAACAGTGGCAAAAGCTTGTGAAAAAGGCTATCCCTAAACACAGAAGGACTAACCAGTGCAGTGTGTGCAGAGGATGTACGTGATGTCGAGTGCAATAAAGTTGAATGCTTCAAACTTCCGGATTGGCTATAACGTAGCTGGTATAATCACAGAATTTTGTTCCTCATCCCTCGAAAATAAAATAAATGGTTGGGAAAGAATGACTCTAAATGCAAAAGGGATATGTATAAATGTATTATGATAAAAAACTGCTGCAAAGTTGCATTTGTGCTGTTATCGCTTTTGCAATGTCCCTGCGGATTTCACTGGATTCTAAGATAAATGCCCAGCTTTTAATGAAGAACTTTGCACTACTTTCTGATTACAACCCTTTTATAATTTCCTATATAAGGTTTTGAGTGAAGTCCTTGCTCTCTGCTCATGCTGAACATCACAATCTGGAGTCTATAAAGTGTGAGTGTGGGTATGAAGAGGGCATAATAGCCAGAAAAGGGCTTCTGATTATCTGGCAAACCCAAGCAAAAATAACTGGATTCATGCTTAAAATTGGCGCATTGCATGGACTTTATTTTAGTGCAAAACGGACAATAAAAAAATAAATAAATAAAAAGGGAAAGCATAGAACAGGTGCTGCAATCAGCATTAAAAGATGTAATAATGTCATAGAAATTACCCCACAACATGTCCATGGATCTCATGCTTACATCCATGAAAACGATACAAATGTTACACGTTCTGACTGTACCATTGGCTGATATTTTTATCCAGTCGAAGATGACAGGACACCTTCCAGATGATGGGAAAATTGCCCATAATGTGCCAATCTGTAAAAGGAGGAGGAGGGAGAGAAGTGGGGGGTAATTATAGAGCTGCCAATCTGTCTTCTATCACAGGGAAATTAAAACAGATGTAACACATAAAATCCAACATTTAAAAGGATCCAACACCAACATGGATTTGCAGCAGGAATAGAATTTCAAACTTGGCTGGGGGAAAATAGAACTAA